TATATTCTGTCCCGCAATAGCGATGCGTTCGTGAAAGCCACTCCTAATTAATCCAGATTCAAATATTAGGTTCGTCAGATCTGAGATTGGGGTGAAGCCGGTTTATTAAGCCTAACAACCTCAAAATGGTCATTCCAATTCACTAGCATTGACAGTTACATTTCTCGTCCACGTTTTCTAGTATGATACACCATTTTCCCCGACCTAATGTCTCCTAGTGTCAATGACCCCCTGGGGCTTTCAGCATGAAGGAAAGGGTCAAATCGACCTAGTGTACTATGGAATAAGCAGTTGTCAAAAACATGGACGCTCTTGTTTGATTCAGGCCACAATGTCCAGGATATGCGGTCAGGCACGTTAGTCTTGCAGATTACAACCCAGGTGAAGATAACGAGCCTGCGACAACATTCAAACACATGCAAAAGCTAACTGGGTAGAAACTTATCTCTTAGAAAGAAAAGTGGTTCGGTGCACGCTACGTAGTGACGTGATTTAGTGAGGTATAGAGTCGTCGTAAGATTTATTTTAAAGGAATAAGTTTACACCACACTCGTTTACACCGACGAAAACCTACCACAAATTGTAGTAGACGCAAATGGTCCTAAATGTCCTGGTAATTACGTCGGTCGGCAGGATAGCCCAGATGAAAGAAAAGTGCGAGTTTCTAGACCTCATTATTTTATGTGTACAGTCTAGTTTTCTCGACAAAGAGAAGTAAGTCATGTTCTTGGCGCACACAAACAGGGACCACACTAAACAAAACAATGTACGAATGGTTTTTTATAGGTACATTTATAAAGCGAAGACCTTTTTTGTTATTTTTTCGTATTTTATCCAATGCTACTTGTTTGTTTTTGTGTATCTTTGTTCGCGTGTATTTCATTTTATCCCCTAGCATTTTTACATGTGTTAGTTTCGCTTCCCCTCTTTTAGGCGATATAAGAGGTCAGCACTCTGTACTATTTCGCTACCGTTAATGTTGTTCGACACACTTCTCGTGTCGAATCGCTCCCGTCAATTCTACTGCAAACTGATTGTTTTATGTCCATACATATTCTTGTGGAAGACTTGTGTACAAGTCTTCACAAGTCTTCGCGGTGGAGGCTCGAGAGAGAGCTCTAATGGCAATATGGACGGACGAGTGGGTCTTCTGACAGATCGGTGTACGCATACATGTCACTATATATATGTAGGCAGAATGAGATTTACCAGCAAAGACATGGGACACTGGGAAGGTCTGTTCTGCCTTATTAGGCGTCATCGGCTAGTGATACCTAACCCCAGTGTGGCCGCTGAAATTGC